TTTTATAAATACAATTTCATATTTTTCTCAGTTGTGAATATTAAATCTAACACTTACTGAATTAATTACTGTCAATTAATTAACTGCAGTTTTCATTTGAATATTTCTGATTATAGATAAAGCATAATATATAAGCTTCATGCAAGCTTCTAAAAAATTGGATAATACTTTCTTTGAATACATCTCAAGCATTGTTTTTTTGTTATTTTAAACAGAGTTGTATTCATTGTTATCTGTTCAACAGGTGTTGGAAAAACGGTGTTAGTGCTATACAAATCAAAAAAACAACTCAGTTATTTCAAAATATTTTTCAGGTTTATATTTTTAACAGTTAATGCCATTACATGATTATGTATTACAGATAATTCTGCGTTAAATTTCTTGTTAATACCAAGGTAGAAAAAAAATTGAAATGGTATAACATCACCAATACCTACTAGCAGCTGTTTATATTTGCTTCCAATTTTGTTTTTCTGAGACACATCATTTTAATGTATCTGTGGTTTTTCTCACTTAGTTGGTAAGAGGCCTTAGCATCTTGATTTTGGGGAAAATTATCATTAAAATTGCTGATGGGAAATGGGATGGAAAAGGCTGGTATTAGATCAGATTGTTGGGAAAACTGCATGATTATAGAGAAAATTTCAATTTGGAAGAAAACAGACCTTGTTATATGCCTTTGTTATATAAGGTGAAAAATCACAGCGTATTTATCATGAAGCATTAATTTTCTTCTAAATATATCAAATGTCATTTAAAATTAACTATTATTACATTTTTTTCATGTCTGCTATTGCAGTATTAGGATTCCAGCTCTATGTACATGTTATTAAATGGTGTACCTGATGATGTTATGTATATATTTTAACATGAGGTCTTGTGTATAAAAACTGTATTTTTATGATGATAATTAAAAATTTTGAAATTGTGATATCTGTTTTGTTATTTTAAGAAATTGGACGTCCACAATCATATCAAATATTTGGCCTTATTAGTATATGGTATGTTTTGCGTCAAAACAGGAAATACAGTTTATATGAACTATGTATGTCTATGTTGCAATTTATGTTTAGTTTCTACAGAATTTATATGAGTTTGATTTTGTAGGAAGCTATAGGCTTATAGACACACTTTTCTATTTCGGTTCCTGGAACTAACCAGTACTGAGCAATGAGCTCAAGGAAACAATTACTTGCCCCTGTCGGGGATTGAATCCATGTGACTAGCCATTATTAGATTACTAGTCTGACACTGTAACTGTTTAGAATCTAGCATTATGCTACTGTAAACGGATATTAGGGCTTTTCTTTGATGTAGATTTACATTATACTTTCCCGGGCTACTTTATCAATGGTCGTATGTACGATGGTTTTTAGTCAAATCATACAATAATATTTGCAAAGTGGTACAAATGTTTATAAGACAGGCCTCTGGTCACTTTGTCAGATGCTTAAAAATTTTTTTTGAAGCAAACAGTGGTGCGAAATCATCTTGATAATTTCACTTATTTTTACCAAACAGAACTTCTAAATAGGCCCAACTGTACTTGTTCTGCAGACATTAATACATGAAGTGTATAGTAGCCTTAGGCAATAGGCCATGGTAAGGTAAGATTACCCCGACAATGTTGTTGTACCAGCTAAGATTGCTGCCATTCAAGTCGACTCATGGCACACAGCATCCTTCAATGTCAGTCATATACCAAGGAAGAGGTGTCTGTGGCAGAGTGGTAATGATCGTTGACTTCAAACTGCTTGCCCCTTTGGGTTTGAATCCTGACAGGGACTCCATGCAGATTCTTTCATGTGAGGAGGTTATCCAGCTTATCTTACAGAAGACTGGTGGTTCTACTCAGGCGGCTGTTTGTTCCCGAAATAATGCATCGAAAGGCAACTGAGGTCTTCGTCAGTTAAACGGGAAATTTTCCATATGACTACACTAAATTGGTTCAATGTAAAACTCAACAAAAACCAAAAAGTAGAGCAACTGTCCACAGCTATAGTATGTCGGAAATAAACCATCATTAAATAAGTGAAGGTTTTTCTTATTCTTTTCTTATGTGTAGAAAATTTACTATTACCATGTTCAGTCTCACTCAAATGTTAAGTGAAAAAAGTGTTTATAATAGTCAATAAAGAATAGAGAATGGATCTTAAATCTAATAAGCTACTCTCCTGTATACCCATGAGGTCCATTTCAGCAAAATGCATGGGCCTTAGAAACTTCAAACTTTGTATGTGAGATGCACCATGTAATTAATGTCTACGTTACCTGCCACATTCATTTTCAAGTCAATAGGTCAAAGGTCAAGGAAGTTGGTACTGTAATATTAACATATAAAACTTAAATGCCACTAAGTCTAAACAATAAATGTGCATTGACCGAGGAACTTCAGATTTTGAAGTTGATGAGCTTATTGACGAGTGCTTTACTTCAAACATTGAAGGTACTGGTAGATGAAATTCGATAAGTTTTAAAAGTCATTTCCAGTTGAATATAAATTTAAGGTTAAGGTTATGAACACTAAAAATTGTTATGAAACATAAAACTGGCAGTTCAACAATAGTGCAATTTGTTCTAGGATATTCAAAGTTTTGTGTTAATATTATGTACCTTGATGTGTTCTAGTCCTGCCAGTCACCATCTATTTAGGTCAAAAGTTCAATATCATTGGGACTTTTAAGAACAAAACATAAAACTCACCATGGCCATATTATATATTATTTAAGTGTATTGACTTTGGAACTTCAAACTCTGTACCACACAGTCAAGATCTCTCTTGATGATTTATATCTGCCATGCCCATTTTCAGTTTAAAAAGTCAAAGGTCAATATGTGACTTCTATGGTTCAGATTATCTCTTTTAAACTGTTTAGTTTATCATGAAAAATGCTCCATCAGGACTTGTGAGCTGAGACTTGTTAAATGTATTTACTTCATTATAGACCTTGCCAATGATGTATTTTTTAAAAGTTAATGTTCTACTTATTTGTTTTATTCCCTTCATTAATTATTATACTTATATTTTGGCAATTAATGAGAGTAATTTAATCTGGGATGTACTATAACGTATCGTATCGTATGTTCCAGATTTAATACAGGTGCAAGAAAAGAAGGCTTCAATCAGGCAAGCAGCTAAAACGCACTCACTGTCTGTAAGTTATTTAAGAAGGAGATTGTTTGGGGATGTGTCTGTTGACAGCAGAAATGGGCCATCGCCAGTGTTCAACAAAATGGAGGAAGAAGCAATGGCAAATTGGTTGAAAGAAATGGCTCAGAGAGGTATGGGTTTGAAGCCAAGTGAATTCTTAGACTTTGTCCAGAACACAGTTAAGAAAGAAAAAAGAAAAACTCCTTTTGTAAATGACAGACCCTCTTACAACTGGTATAAGAAATTCATGTTAAGAAACAAACATATTATAGAGATGAGAACAGAAAAACCGCTTGAATCCAGTAGAGCAAAACTTACTCGTATAGGTATGGATGAATGGTATTGCAATTACAAGAAATTTCTGATTGAAAATGCTTTACTGCATAAGCCAGAGTGTATATATAATGCAAATGAGACTGGTTTTAATTTAGCAAGCAAGGCAGGAAAGGTTATAGGACCAGTGAGAAGCACTCAAAATACATCTGTACCTCATGTATCTGGGGGTCAAAGTAAACAGCGAATTACTGTAATGTTTTGTGGCTGTGCTGATGGGAGTATGGTTCCGCCATTCTTAGTATATCCTGAACCAAGACCTCGTGGATATTCAGCGTTAACTGGAGGAATGGCAGGTAGTGGTATAGCATTCACAAAAAAAGGCTGGATGGATTCTGAAGCTTATGAAGACTTCCTTAAACACTTCGACAAACATGCTTGCAAAGACAGGCCTGTAGTCCTTTTGATCGACAGTGTAAGTAGTCATATCAGCCAGGGTGCATTTGAAATGGCAAAGTCAAAGGGAATACTTTTATATAGAATTATACCGAATGCAACACATCTAATGCAGCCATTGGACAAAGGCGTTTTTGGACCATTGAAACAGTCCTGGTACAAGGTTATGAGAGCCCATGCAAGAGAAAAGCCAGGTGTAGCTATAGGCAAAGACACCTTTTCAGAGAAATTGAAAGAGGCCTATTTGCTGTTCTACAAACCGCTTACTGTTGTCAACAGCTTTAAGTCATCAGGAATATACCCTGTAGATAGTACAAAGGTAAGGGATTCAGATCTGAAACCAGGTTTTACGTACACACATACTGATGATGAGGTAGAGGAATCAGGAAAAGCACAGCAGACAAAGTCTTCTCAAGATGAGCTTGATGCACAGGGTGCTTTGCGTGCATTTGAAAAGACATTAACAACACCAATTAGAAAAAAATATAAAACACGTATGGAAGAGGGGTATAATGTTGTAGGGGAGTCTCCATGTTTTGAGGTTTACAAGAAGCTTAAGTTTGCCAGTGAAGGTCGAACCTCTGAAACATCTACTGAAAAAGAACCTGTTGGAAACACAACTGATGCTCCATTATCTGGATTAGAAATTCTTGCTAATACAGCATTAAGTCATGAAACTGCCACAACATCTTGTGACCAATCATTAGAAGACCCTCCCTCTGATACTGTTGTTTCCCCAGTACTGGTTGAATCCCTGGTACTGCCAAAGTCAATAAAAAAAACCAAGATGCAACCAAAAAGACTATTAGATAAACTTCCACACCACCTTACATCAGATGAATGTCTTCGAACAATGGCCTTACGTGACTTATCAAAACTCAGAGCTCAAGCAGAGAAAGAGAAAAAAGCAAAGCTTAAATATTTAGCGGCTGCTGAGTCGAGCTGTAGTAAAAGAAGCAAATCTAACATAGTAACATTAAGTCAAAAGCATCTAAAAAGGCTGATCTTTCAAGGGCTGGTACAAGTAAAGCATTGGAAAGACAGAAGAAGAAAATGAAGATGATGTGAAGTGTGAAGGTTGTGGCATGACTTGGAAAGAAGACCAAGAACTTGGTCTTTTGGAAAAATATGGGTGAACTGTGACTTCTGTAATAAGTGGCTACATACAGATTGCTGTCTAAATGAAGTTAACATTGAAAGTGATGACCCTTTCTGCTGTCCAGAATGTAAGAATGATTTACCAAAACCAAATCAAATTTGTTCTACCAAAAAATTACAAATTCATATTTCATACTTGCATTTTTTCAAAAGATGATTTCTTAGAAAAGGTATAAATTTCTAATAAATTTATTTGAATCAAAACATGTTTATGTATCCAGATAAAACCAGTGAAAAGGGAAACTTATTTTTTCAAACAAATTTTAGTTTCTTTCAGCTGTATTTAAAAAAAAACTAAAGAAGTTTGCTATTTGATAAATCCCCTATACAATTTAATGTTGATACATGAATAAATATATATATACTTTAACTTGTAGGTGCCAAATGAAAAAAATGAGGAATGTACAGAAGTGTTGGTAGGTCAGTGTGTAATTAAAGGCTATCACTCCTTCAAAATTCGACCTCCAATGATAGATGATGCCCCTTTATTAACTGTAGATAGAGAATATTGTAACATTCATGACAAAAACGCATGCTTGGTATGGCTGCCTGGTTTAGAGGAGTATAAAAGTGAGTTTCATCAATTAGAAACAGACAAAACACGCAAGCTGAAACTTAATGATATAGCTGGCCTGCCGATAGGTCATGTCCCACGAGGTTTAGGTGGATGTTTTCGTCAGATACTTGACAGAAAGGATTTAATATATGCAGAGGTAACTGGTGAACCCCGGCCAAGTTTTCCACCTTGGCCAGCACCACATGAGACTGGTGGTGGTGCTGTCATCCCTTGTAGTTACATAATTAAGTGCAAGGATGTTTCTACAACCACAGCTCTTATTAGAAATGCTTTACAGGAAATGGAAGAGAAAACAGTCATGACTGTAACAAGGAGGTGTTCAAAATAGTTAGTCTAATTGTAAAGAAAACCGTAAAGCTGACTGTTTCATTTTGATATCAACACAACAATTTAAAATCTTGAAACTTGTATATGTATATATATGTAGCATTTTTAGTTTAGCTCAGTGGTGCTATTGTGATAACCTTTCATTTTTCCTTAGGCCACACTTAAAAAATTGTTTGTTTGCAGTAACACGACCCAAGATTTTTAGTTTGGGTAAGTAGGTTGATTTTTTTTTATATGTATATTTTTTAGAAAGCCTGTAAAATTTTTAGGTATAAGTATAGAAGGAATGGGCTAAAAAAAGCTTTTGGGTAGGGGATGATTTTGGTGAGTAGGTAGCGTTACTGCAAACAAACTATTTTTTAAGGACAGCCTTAACCACATAGTATTTTTCATTTAAACTTTTGAATGGTATCCCTTGTGTTGTGGTGAAATATTTTTTGCATACACACTTGTCGCCATGGTATTCATCTCATAATTACATGTTGACCTGTACAAAGTTTGTGCAAACCATGGTAGTCTGATTAATATCTACAATTTACAAGTAGTACCTCCATTTAACATGTAGTATAACATTAACATAACTTTAATCTGTCTAAATTTACAGCTGAAAGTGAGCAATTAAGACCATCATTGTCATATTTTTTGAAAGCAGTTGATTTTGCATTATTTTTAACATATCTGGTGTAATTATCTTTGTGGATAGTCACTTAATTGTTCTATGTTTTTAATTGTGACATACCTATAGATCAGAGAAAGTCTGCTGGTTAATTCTTAAGAAAATGTTTATTTTGTTGCTTTTATATTAAAAAGAAATGTTGCATGTGACTGGTTAGAGATTAATTATCTCCATACATGTGTAATTAATGGTCAGCAAACGGGTTGAGGTTGTGATATTCAACATGCATATTAGGTATTATTACAGTATTTTTATTTTCATATTTATTTTCAACAAGCAGTTGTGATATTTGTACAGTATTTTATTTTCATGTTCAAATAACCCACAGGTGGTACAGTATTTTAACTGCAGTCCTTTCAGGAAGTTTGTTCATTATTGGACTTGTGGTAATATTCCAGAATTAAAAGAAAGCTATGGAATATTTAAATTTATCTTTGTGTTGTTCTTTTTTTATCATCAAATGTAAGTCCAACTGAGAAACACTAACTTCAAGTGGTATTTAAAGTTGAAACAGGACTAATTTTAATCTGGTTTGTCTGTAAACATGTTTTGATAGATAAATAATATTTTGAGATGCCCCCCCAATAACAGAGGTTAAAAATAATATCAAAGAGGGCGCCACATCCGGAACTGCATCCGAGGTCACGGAAATGCATCGTTTGGTTACAGCGGAGTCGAGCAAAATTTACATTCTTCTTTACATCAGATTTAATTTAAACCGTTTCAGAAAGGTAAAAGAAAGATTTGTTATAACAAAAATGACCAAACTTTCTCCAACAATAAAGGTTTCATGCTGTATGCAGACAAATAATCAAAAGTGGTACGGAACCGCATCATAGACTGTATAGAGATTTTCAAACTTTAAATCACAATGCTTTATATACTTTACATAAGTGGAAGACTGATAGATCTGAATTTAATAACAAAAGTGTAATAACGTGCCGTAAGTTTAACACTAATTTACATTTGTATCCGAGTTCCTTCCCTTAAAAACAATATTTTCCTTGTTATGCATGGGTTATTAGAACACGTGTTCATTGATAAACAAAAACATATTAAGGTGGGTCATAAACAGCCAATGAAAACGCTCTTCATCGCGCACACCTCCAGATAAACTCCGAGACATCCCGAAAGTACTTGATACAGAGGTTGGTGTGGAAAAAAAAGACAAATTCTTTCTTTCCGATTACCAAATAACGGCCACATGTTGATACCTTTTTTTCACGATAATCCGTCAGTCGATTAAGCTATAGACCACAGTGGTAAACCAGTCGTAATTTCGTAGTATTAACCTTTGTTTTCATCTATTATAGAAGGAGTAATTAGTGGGTGGAGTAACAAAATACATTGTAACGGTTAGTGTTATCATAATATATATGTTCTTCTTTTATTTTTTCCCCCACATGTTTCAACTTTCAACGTAAGTAAGCTAAAGGTAGTAATATGTGTATTTTGAATATTGATTTTAAATGTTGCCAGTCTCTAATCTAGTTAAAAAATACATTAATTGATAAAATCAGATATATACTGACATGTTGACATTGAAATAAATCTGTTACCAACACTGTAATTGATTTTTTCCATAACTGATTCAACACTTCAAATATACCGTAATGATATTAATCATCTAATGACGACAGACAAGTGCCATTTAATGCTATTGCTACACTGACTGTATGGTTGGGACAAAAGAAATTAAATTAAACTAATTAATAAATTAGTATAATTAGTAAAACAGAGATTAAGAGTTAACTGGGAATCTAAGAGAACTTGATGCAGGATTAGTAGAAAAATGTTGCTTGCACATTGGATTGAGAAGCTACCCTTCTAGTCCAACTAATTAGACTTGTCAAAAAGACACCGAGATAATTTTGGACGGGCGCTGTCTTTTTTCCAACGGTATGACGGTTTGACAGTAAGAAAAAAAAAGTCTGTAAAATAGGTCAAACCGTTCACACTGAATTAATTAGGCTACTACCCTTCCTGCAGGATGAGTGACTCTGATGCCTTGAGTACAAAACATTTGTAAAAATGTGAAATATATCATATTGCTGTGAATACTGGGACAAACATATTACACCCTTTGTCATAGTATAGAACTGTTCACTTACAGGGGAGAGTATTTTGCAAGGACATACTAAGCTACCTAACGTAACTAAGGTAGATCTGCTGACAATTTATAAAGTAATTACCAAGGTTGTCAAACATTAAGTTTTTTTTCTTGGATGTTATACACCTAATGTAGTGTCTGTAACTTGTGTTAAACTTATATTGTAGACATAAAGAAAAATGCATGTATTTCACAAAAAACAAAATTAGATGTGTGTAGGAGATACAATATACCTTAAACTTTATGATTCATTCAAAGGAAATAGGATATCTGAAAATTTGTTTTTTTGTGTAAGTAATACTTCTTTCTGCACAACAATGCTGTTATTTTAGCCGAATATGAAATAATATCCAAGCAAGTTTGATGAGACAAAAAGTTGTTGTTTTGTAATTTTTAACATATATATTTATAATAATACTGTTCTATTTTACTTACAGATATAATGAAGCAACTGTCTTTGAGAACCCACCTTACATTCTCTGGAATATCATCATTTACTTCAACATGTCACAGTTGTATTATAAATCCAGTTAAAACAGTAAACATGCTAAAAATAAGAGCATTTTCTTTCCATAGACATGGACATATTTGGAAGTCTAAATTTACTAAAGATGAAACCAGGTGTCCGAAACATTATTTAGCTGGGAAAAATCATAGTTTAAATATTCATTCCAATGTAAATAAAGAAAGTTATTATTCAAGGAATAATGTAAGGAACTCCAGGGATCATTCAATGACTTGGAAAGAAAAGTTTGCGCAATCTAACAAACTGTTTAAGGCTGGTACCAGGCTCAAATCTAGATATATTAGGAGGTTGCAGATCATATCATTCTGGTTCCAGTATTTATCTAAGCCCAGGAGAGAAATGGCAGCCAGGAGCAATTCCTCTTTTGTATGTATTAATTTTATTCATTATTAATGTTTTACTTATAGTAATATTTCATGTGATAATTAATACTTTAGTACTCAACTGTATATACAATGTTCATCCTGACTTTAACTGTCACAGATTGTGATATATTTTCAGCATATTTTGCAGTTGTTATGGTAACTGACTTCAATATTTCATGTGATATAAGACTTTAAGTACTGTATATGCATTGTTCATCCTGTCTTAAACTGAAAGTAATATATATTCAGCATTTTTGGTTGCGTTTGTATGGTCACTGACTTCAAATCACTTTCCAATTACGGTTATGGGTTCAAATCCTGTCAGGGATTTTGGTATCATGTTAGAAAGCTATCCAGCTAGCTTATGGAAGGTTAGTGATTCTACTCAACAGCTGGCTTGTGCTTAAAATTTAATGTTTGGGAAGGGGCCCTGGGTCTTCCTCCACCAGTAAAAAATCACTGGATAAGTCATTTGTATGTCACCTTTAACAAGTTTTAGAGATGTTTATGAGAAAATTTCGGAAAAAATTTAATTTGAAATTGATTTTATTTTCAGGGATGAAAATGGCAGTATTATTAGAAGAATATTGAAGATAGATTGTTTTGAACTATTTAGGGGATAAGAATGGGACGAGTTTAAATATTTTTACAAATTTGAAAAAATGTTTTGTATGTTTAGTTTTTATTTTAAATTTATTTTCCTTTTTTATTAACATATTATGTTGAATTTTTGGTACAAAAATTTATTTGCATACCCACAGTTTGCACAGTTTTCTACTTTTTTATGCACCCATATGACATAGCCTGTCATAAATAACATTCTTAACCAAAACAATGCTAGATTTATACCATATTGTTTCCATTAAATGCCCTCTTCCTTGTATTAGTGCCTTCACCACATTTTGTAGAAGAAAAAAAAAAATACCTTATAGATTTGTAATGCATAATAAAAGAACAATCCAAACAATCAAATTTAAAAAAAAAAAAAATAACACATACTGTGTCTAGTAATGTAAAATCATTAAAAATAATTCTGCTTTATAAGGACATTATAGGTAACGTACCTGTCCTAGCTGTTTTGAATTTGAAAATGTTTATTGATTAAGGGGTTCAATCTTAAGACTCTTTTTCAATGAAAATAGGAAAGCAAATTGCTGTGGAAACATTAACTTATTATATTCATACTAATTTTTGGAAATTAGATTTAGTCTTTAACATATGTTATAATGACACTGTGTTTCTATGAAAATGACTTTACCTATTACAATTCTTTTACCTGTTTTCATGTTCTATAGATTTATTTTGTACAAGAAAGGAATTTATCCAGTTTGCTTCACCTTTTTTAAGCATAAGAACAATTCTAGTCGTATTGCTTTTTTCATCAAAATTAAAAACAGCCTACATTATTTTGATTATTAAATCATTAAGAGATTTTTTTTTTAACAAGATCAATTTTAGCATATGGTGTCAAGTTTATCAAATCAGACACAAAAGATTGAAAAATCTTTGTGAAGAAGTCGTGCACAATTTGTCGAAAAGACACAATTAAAAAATCGTTCGAACTGAAATTTGATCTTGCTGCTCCAATTTAATGACATGTAGTTCGCCATACATGCAGGACATAATAGTGTATTATTGCAGTGTTATGTCAATGCTATTTATCGGTCCGTTGATTGTTATTTGGTTGTTAACAGTTAGAATACTTTAACATTACATTTATGTCACAATTTTAAAAGAGTTTGTTACCTCAGTGGTTTATACATTTACCGCACCTTGATGTTTGGCCTTAGTTGATACAATAATTGGAGAGATAGTATTTAAAAAGATTTAAACTTGCCAAAGCATATAATAAATTATATTCAAATATTAACATTTTTTTAAAGCAGCAAACCTCCAGATTCATGCTTATTCTCATTAAAGGTTTTGAAAATATATTTAAAAGTTAAAATTTTTAATATTGTGAAGTGAACAAAGACAGTTGTTTACACATGACGAATGGTACTAACAATCCACTTAAATTACCAAAAAGTGATCAAAAGTGTTAGTCACGCAGTAGAAATATGGTGACCAATAAATACTGAAAAATCAGTAAATGTAAAACTTTATAATCATTTAATCACTGTTATTACACATTCTAATACGCCCTGCATTTTTTTCTCTATTGAACATTGTGTGTTATTATGCAATAAAATCATTGTTGATGTTCTATATATAGACATGTGATGTAATAATTATACATGTGACATAACAACTAAAAAATGCAACACGCTGAAAATAAGTACGGAAACAAATCAAGCGCAATTTAGCTTAATATCAAGTATGGTGGCATTTATGTTAGAATCAAAATAATAATTATCCAAATCAGTGATTTTATCGCAATGTTGTATATTAAATGTCTTGAGGTCTTATTGCTAAGTATTATATCGTTTATTTTCATGTATATCATACTATATATCATACTATAATAGTAAAATATGATTTAAAGTTGAAATTTATAATTACAGGCACTTACATCTACAGGATTGAGGGAAAATGATCCGCGTCTGGCAGAATGTTTTCAAGGGTTGTCTCGGTATCAATCGTCCGGGAGATTTCAGGACGGTGATATGTCTAAGTTCGGTCCAACCATAGATCGTGAAACTTTTAAACAGTAAGGAAATAGTTTTCTTTATCCTGTGTGATATCTTTTACATTTATTTCGGATGGTACTGGATACTTATAAGTATATTGTCAAGACAGTTATATGAAGGTTACATCAATCTGATTAAACTCAGCTCCTAAATAATGGTACGCATTAGGGTCTAACTTCCACGAATAGGTTGTCACCTTCTCACAGCCAGTCATTGCCGAGCTTTCACAATTTTGAAAGCGATGCAGTTTCTAATTTAATCACCGGAAAACCAATACTGAGTAGTTCCATTGACAATGTTATTTTGATTCTTTTTCTAATGCCTATCTGTAAAGGAAGGTTTGACTGTATGGCTAAAAATAACTTTATTGGGTAAATTTGAATCACAATGGAGGCAAAACATATATGGTGGCAATCAGATCTGCATGTAAGAAATAACTTAAGTAGATCTAACTTTAGTCAGATTGACAGTTACATAAAGAATGCTAGAAATAACTTTACAACAAAGGATTTTGTCTGATGAGGGTAATTTTAATCCTCTTTATCTTCTACATAAGAAAACATTAAATGAAAATAAAATAATGTATACAGATGCCATACCCTGAAAATTTAATCTGCTTGCAATTACTGTCAATCCTGTGAATAAAGGCTGTGCTAAGGTGACACCATACATGACCTTTATAGACATGAGGTCTTTATTTGGAGTTTACTGTGTTGTATTTTTGTTATTGAATGTTTGTCAAAGAGTGGTCTTTATTTATGTGATTGTCTTTATTAGGAGATGGTCTTTAACACAGGCTTGACTGTATTCAACTTACCATGGCTACATAAATAACACTTGATGTAAAAAATACAACCATTTGAACCAATTTCTTTTTAATCTAAGAGAATTTACTTTTCAGTCTTTTAATATTTTATTATTTTCAAACAACTTCAGAATCAGATTCAACATATAATACGGTAAACATGCACATGTAGATGGTTCATCACAATAATGACTCATAGTATATGTCAAGGTCAAATTTTAAGGTCAGAATTGAGGGTCAAATGTTATAATCAAGTTTGAAGCTCAGATTGTACGAGTCAGAGTCAAAGCTCAAGTTTTAATGCTTAACAAGATCAGAATTGATGCTTCAATGATAAGGCCAATGTTAAAGGTTAAATCATAACCTTAGTGCAATAACTAGTTAACTCGTATTAATTTCAATGGGAGTTAACCCATTATTGCACAAAGGCGACAAAATGGTAAGGTCAGAGATGAAGCTCTAATGATAAGGTCAGAGTTGAGGTCAGAGTTGATGTTTCAATGATTAGGTCAATGTTGGTGTTTAAATTGTCACCTAATAGTGCAATGACTAGTGTAATTAGTGCAATAACTAGTTAACTTGTATTAAATTTCAATAATTACTGCACTATAAAGGTTATATTGTAAGGTCAGAGTTGAAGGTTAAATGGTAAGGTCAGACATAAAGGTTATATTGTAAGGTCAGAATTGAAACTCAAATGGGATGGTCAGAATTGAAGCTATAATGATAAGGTCAGAGTTGAAGGTTAAATGATAAGGTCAGAGTTGAAGGTTAAATGGGAAGGTCAGAGTTGAAGGTTTAATGTACTGGTCATAGTAGAAGGACACAGGGATGAAAATAAGAACAAGATTTGCTTTCTTTACCAGATTCACGTTTTAAGGGATTTTCATAGAACAATCGTAACAGATCATCTTTAAATGAAACAAGACTCTCATTGAAGTTAAGGACACCATTTATGATTAAATATTTATTATTATTATATACACAGTTACAACCATGAATAAGTATGTAGGAGTCTCTTATGGGGCCCATACATTGAGTAAATGATTGACTACTTTTATTAAAACTGTTCGTTTTCAAGACTTTCAACAAGTTTATAGCTTCTAACAAAATCAAACTAAAATAAATTTGTGTAAACTAAAACTGTTTGTCATTCTTGAAAAACTCAAAATTGTCAATTTAAAAAGTACCTGAATGTTTATTGTATAATTTGTAAGATTTGTATTGAAAGGAACAAATTTATTATAATTTTCAGATGTATAGCAAAGAATATATCCCTGATCTCAACTGCGTTTAGGAATGAGTTTATCATACCAGATTTCAGCCAGTTTTGCAGTGATATAGATGAACTATACTGGCACTGTAGAGAAAACATTAGTGGAAATGTAAGCTTTCTTGATTTCTGTTATATAATAACTGGTAACAGCAATGGTCGGAGGGTTAAGGATCACTGTTTCACACTTTATCTATAGTTTTATATGTTACAGCAGCAAGTGTTAAATGTCATGTGACATGTACTTCACTTCAGTGAGAGATATTTTTCTGGTCCTTCGGGATTATTGATTCCAACATTGAAATGTTGAAATGTTGAAATTTCAGTTCTGCTCAAGCTGGTTATAGGGGCTATGAGGAATGTTTCACTTTTTCATTATCCCTCATGTACATGTACAGACTCATTCAAAGGGAGTTATGATTATAATTAATGCTTCTGAGGGATCACAGTTTTAACCAGATTTTTAAGGAGTCTGCTTTTCAAATTGAACCTATCTAGCATGAGTTTGAGCTCTATTTATGTGACACAATGTTGTCTTATATGATGCCACCACTGGTCACTGTAAAATCAGAAAGTATCACGAGTCATAAATGGCAAAATTTGAAAATTTCAAGCTGAGTATGAATGAGCCTGTTCATGGACTGAACTGGAAAGTGCAAGTTACTGTCCATGCCCACTAGAACTGGCTTTAGCAGAATTCAACGTTTAAACATGATTATGGTGAAATTTGAATTTAGAATCATCCCATTCTGTGGTTACCATGGAACCTTTCAACAAACAAACAAACAAACCATGAAAATAAATTTGTAATTTTTGTTTAGGGAACATTTTATTCTCGTTATGTATAATATTCATGTGTTAAATAAGAGAAACTTACCAGGTAATAACGTTTCGAGAATCGTTCATAACATTATTGAAACAACATAATTTTACTGTTGATAAATTTTACAAAAAGAAATCATTAGATGTAGCATTATACCATTTAATTAAAAATAATATTCCAGTATTTATTACTTTCTCTAGTTAAAATAAAGTTTGGTTTCTATATTTTCAGGTAGCAACGTATATACCTCAGCTAGCTAGATATAGTCCTAACTTCTGGGGAGTGGCGGCGTGTAGCGTAGATGGACAGAGGTACAAAATTCTTTCTGCTAAGTCTATACATGAATTGTATAAAGTTAATATGTTGTTAAATGAATAACTTAGATAGAAATTTACAAGCTTCATTGAAACATTTTATATTGAAGAACTCAGGCTTCGATGTTCAATGTCATGGGCTCCATTCCATGAAAGTCCTAAATGTAAGTCTTAAGTAAGTCCTAGGACTTATGATAAACTATAGGACTAACTTAAGACCATTTCAATAACTATTTTCATCTTTATTAAATGCTTTAAACATTTAATAAATTTATTCTTCTGAGGAAAGTTACAAAATACAAATGCACATGTTTCTATCAGCAATTTGTAAGGTTCATTTAGAAATTAAAAAGTCTTAACATAAAAGACATAAAAGTTAGGACATTTTCTTTGAAACAAAAAGTGTCTCACTTTTAGTTTTAAGACATATTTAGACTTTCCATGAAATGCAACCCAGTGTTTTATTTCATTCATAATAGGCTATTGTGAACTATTAATTTTGAGATGGTAACTCCAATATTGAAGGAAAATAAAGGGACACAACTGTAGTTAATACTTTTAACTGTTTAATCACTTACATTTTACCTTTAATAGTTTAAATCTCAAGAAGGTTTTTTTTAGCTTTTTATGCCAGGAAAAACACAAGCTGGGCTGTGTTCAAAGAAACTCCTGAGTGTACCCGAAGTACTAAAAAACTGGAAACAAACTAATCCCTCGGAAGCATTAATCACAACAAAATTACAAAAGAATTGCAGACTCGGTTTGATTGAGTCTGATAATGAATACGTGCAACATCCCTCAGGCCCCCTAGCACCGGCTTGAGCGGTACTCAATTCTCAACACTAAGACTTAAAACCAACTTTAAGGCTTAACTTAAGCTTTTTCAATAAATTATTATTTATTCAGTCAAAGACAGTAGACTGTATTTAAATTTATGTACGGATAGAAATAAAAAAATACAGTAACAGAAAATTTATTCGCAGTGTTTTATTGCTTATCTGTATTGCTATTCAGAAATTAATAGTCATAGGAGTCATAGGTTAAGACTTTTTCTATGGAACACAAAATTGTTTCAGTTTTGGTCATAAGAATGATTTAGACTTAAGACTTTCTATGAAACGCAGCCCTGGTAATAGGTGTTGAATGCTTGCCAATGTGAATTAATTTAAAAAAAGGAAGGAACATTCAAAAATGGCTTCATGGAGAATTATAAATTTATACCTATATGTATTATTGAACTCTTAAATGAAAACTCTATTTGCATTAAAACTGAATAAAAATCCTGTAACTGTATAAGATGTTTCACTCGAAATGCTTTTAATAAATTTTTGAAAAGTGCAAAATGACTACTAAATTATCATTTCTCTTTTTCTGTAGGTAAATATTTTTGACTTTTTAGGAAATGAAATGCATTGTTAAAACCTAGTGGGCATTGCTGTTGTTATTTGTATCCAGTAACAAATTAAATAGAATATTTCAGTGGAAATTATTACAATTTTTCAGATATTCTGTAGGTGACACAAATGTACCATTCTGCTTACAATCAGTATCAAAACCTTTGACCTATGCCATGGTGTTAGATGACCTTTCACCAGAGGTCATCCATGAATATGTAGGTCATGAACCCAGTGGCGTAGCTTTCAACACTATCAACTTAGACTATAGAGGTAAATGTTTAATAATTTTTCTGTTAAGGAAATAAATAACATGGGTTTGCCTAAAATACGAAAGTGACTTTTTTGACGAAAGTGACTTTTAAAATATGGATTATAGTGTTTTAATAGACTTTTACAATAAAATTGCAGGTTTTAGACGTATATTATTAGAAATTGATTATATAATCATTTTGATGATTTAATTGCTATTTTTTTTATTTGCATAATTTCTATACACAAGTTCTGATATCTTCTTTCGCTCACATTGAAAAATACGAAAGTGACTTATAAAGTATTAAAACACTGTTTAAATTGAAAATTTTACTATTAATGCACTAAGCAGATGTTTATATTATCAGAAATTGATAATATTTATTTTCAAAAATAATCATTATGAAGATTTAATCACCATTTATTTGCACAATGTCTATACACAATTACAGAGATCTTCCTTTCGCTCACATTGAAAAATACGAAAGTGACTTATAATATACTGTTTAATTTGAATTTATATTAATATAACAGTTTGTAGAGGTATAGTTTCAGAAATGAATAAATTATATTCAGAAAAAAAAAATCATTATAATGATTTAATATGCATACATTTCCATTATTTCTATATACCAGTTCACAGATCTTACTTTCGCTCACTTTCGTATTTTTAATGTGAGCGAGAGGAAGCGAAAGTGATTTTAAAAATGTTAAATATAGCGGTTTAATTGAATTTTATATTAATATTGCAGTTTGTAGACGTATATTATCAATACTAGTTTTTTTAATCAATATGATTTGATCTTCATTTATTTGCATATAATTTTTAATATTTATACACAAGCTCTGACCATGGTTAAAACATTGCTATTCAGTTGGTACATATTTTCCCATAAATGATGGATAATCTTGTCCAGATTGAAATATAGGCAACTCTATTTATCATATTTAGTGTGGTTAGAGTAAAAGTATAAGTTCAATATCAAAATGTTTTTACTGTAAAATTTTGTATTCATTATTTTTTTGTTTACATTTTTTTTCAGACAAACCACACAATCCTATGATAAATGCGGGGGCTATTGTTGTATGTAGTTTATTAAAACAGACATACAATCTTGCTGACAGGTTTGACTATGTAAGTTTCTCCTTGTTTAGCCTAAACTGTTCTTGAATACTCTAGTGTTTGGTTCTATACATTGAAAGTATTTAGAGAACTACTGAGTTATTATGGAAGTTTTATTGAGGTATAGATTTACTGACTTGTTTTGGAAGCTTTTATGGTGTATCTACAAGTTATTATGGAAGGTAGATGTACTCATTTGTTATGGAACCTATATTTTCGTTTAATGTATAGATGTGCTAAGTTGTTTGGAAGTTTTGATGCAGTATAGATGTACCAAGTTATTATGGAAGGTAGATGACTACTAAGTTGTTATGAAAGCTTTATTTTCATTTAGTGTATAGATGTACTGACTTTACTATTGTGTGTTTCAACTCTTGGTTTTGTCAATAGATAAATTATTACACGATAAAATATGTTTTCAGGTTACTCAAGTTTTAAAGAGATTAACTGGTGGGGAATATTTGTCTTTCAATAATTCAGTGTAAGTTATTTATAGTTACGTATTTGCTCACAGTAAATAAAACAGAATATTTTATACAATAGGGGTACCTGTAAGTTTTCTCACAAAATATTTTATACAATAGGGGTACCTATAAGTTTTCTCACAAAATATTTTATTAAATAGGAATACCTGTAAGTTTTCTGACAAAATATTTTATTAAATAGAAGAACCTATTAGTTTTCTGACAAAATATTTTATACAATAGGAGTACCTGTTAGTTTTCTGACAAAATATTTTATTAAATAGAAATACCTGTTAGTTTTCTGACAAAATATTTTATTAAATAGAAGAACCTGTTAGTTTTCTGACAAAATATTTTATTAAATAGGAGTGCCTGTTAGTTTTCTGACAAAATATGTTATTAAATAGGAGTACCTGTAAGTTTTCTGATAAAATATTGTATTAAATAGGAGTACCTGTAAGTTTCTGACAAAATATTTTATTACATATGGGTACCTATTAGTGTTCTGAAAAACATATTTTATGAAATAGGTGTACCTGTAAGTTTCCTGACAAAATATTTGTGTTGTTTCAGTTATGACATCACATAATTATGCTCATTAATTATACTTGTATATTCATATGCCGATAGTTAAGGGAAGATATTCACATGTTAATTGATATATTTATATATGATAGTTAACGGAAAATATTCACATGTTAATTGATATATTTATATTTGATAGATTCCTGTCTGAAAGGGAGACTGCTGACAGAAACTTTGCTCTTGGTTATTACATGAGAGAGAAAAAGGTAAACATGCTAATAATAAGAAAATGAAGGACAAAACAACACAGAAAACCACACATGCACACGCCTAAAACTGTAAAAACTATAAACATTTACAACTTTTGATTTACTTTCATATTTTCTTTTTTCATTATTTCAGTGAAAAAGTAATATTTATATGGTTATATTTCCACTCTTAATTACGAGTAGAATTTAAGAGACCTCGATGCAGGACCAGTAGAAAAATATTTTTCAGTGCCTGTTAATAGTACAAAATAATGAACAGCTTAAAAGTTATACTGAATATTTTTAGGTTAATAAAAGTTCCATCAAGGACCAACAGTGTCATTTTGATTAAAATGGAATTATCATAACTGTATTATTTTGTCTATTTTTCAGTGTTTTCCAGAAGGCACAAATCTCATGGAAGTTATGGACTTTTACTTTCAAGTAACACTTTTTTTGATTTTATCTGAGTATATTTAATTTAAACTATTTCTAATAGTAATAAATGATTTTATTATAAATTTATGATTTTTCTGATGCAAATAAAGTCATTTTTAGCACAACTTTTCAAAGAAAAAGGAGAGTTACTGTACTCACCCAAGTGTCAGATTCACACTTTGGTTAAGTTTTTGCATGCAGTTTGGTATCTTCAAAAACACTGAAGAGAATTGGCAAACTTATTTGAGAGCATAATAGGAGGTCACTGTCCAAGGTCCATAACTCAAACATGGATTTTGACAGAATTATGGCCTTCTTTGAACTTAGAAAATTCTATATTATCCAGGCTCTTATTTTATTACTACTAGTAACAAGATATATTTTTACTAACAAGCACTGAGAATAGTTGAGCATGCTGTCCTACTGCCAGCTCTTGTCGACTGAAATAAATACATACATTTGGGTCAATTTTCTGTATTTTACACTTTATGTTTTTTTTGAGAGTCATTACTTGACAAATGTGAATGTTATATTGATGTCCTACGTGCTTATTCATTAAGCTTAGATAATGTTCAGGTTTGATAACATTTTCTATGCGTACTTTACAGAACGTATATAATAAAAGAGGAATACCCTATAGCTTAGGATAGTATCACTCTTATTAATTGTGTAAAATTGTAATCACACTTACTTACCCTGGGGGCTCTAATGAATATTAAAACAGGCAATTCTAGCAATACACCCCATCAGAATAGTACACTAAAGTCTTGTGCAATATTCCATTTGTGACGAAACTTATAATTATAGAATTAATTGTATGGGCATTAACTTTGATGTAAAAAAATGGACCAGCTGGGTACATGAAAAAGGGTATGATTATACTTGGTTTATACACAATTTATTTATTTTAGTTTGATTGTGTAAAAGCTACAAGCTTATAGACACACTTCGAATCTGTTCCTGGAAACAACCAGTACTGAGCAATGAGTGTGAAGTTTCTTGCTGAAGGAAACAACAACTTGCCCCTGGTGGGGTTTGAACCCATGCGGCTAGCATTCATTAGATTACTAGTCTGACACATTTACCACTCTGCAATGCCACCTATCACGCATGTTGCAGATGATTTCACTATCTGAATTTATTTATTTTACAGTTGTGTTCCCTGGAGATAACATGTGAGTCAGGTGCAGTTATGGCAGCTACTCTAGCTAATGGAGGAATATGTCCTATCACAGGTGATAAAGTATTTTCTTCTTCCTCCATGAGGGATACAATGTCGTTGATGCTTACATGTGGCATGTATGATTACTCTGGTGAATTTGCTTTCAAGGTATGTAACATTCATGTTATTTTGTTAAAGTTATCTCCCTTGTTTAACTTGATGAATTCCATTTTGCAATATGATGTTCTAAGTTTATCTCTTCTATGATCTCCCATTTTCAATGTGATGATCTCCCCTTAACAACTTGATACACTCCCCTAATCAACTTGATAATATCCCTTATCAACCTAATTACCTCCCCTAATCAATTTGATAATGTCCCCTAATCAATTTGATAATCTCCCCATAACAACTTGATACACTCCCCTGATCAACTTGATGTTCTCCCCTTAACAACTTAATTATTTCCCCTTATCAACTTGATGATCTTCCCTGATTAACTTGATAACCTCTCCTTTACAATGTGAAGGTCTCCCATGATGAAAACAAGTCATTTTGTGATTGTAGCTCTTTGTGTAGAATTTGTTGTCATTTCCGATAAGCAAAAATTTGATGTAATGACAAATCTTTCATAAATAACTTTCTAGTATCAATGTTTGTCAAAAAGTTTGTTTTCTGAAAAAAAATTAATATACAGTGATAAGATAACTTTCTCTGATGAATTTAATTTGGAGGTGATTCAGATTGACATGTCTTCACTGTTAGACAATTTATTTTCATGTTTTATTATATTCAACTAACATCATTTGGATCCTACAATTCATACAAACTTGGAACCATTTATGTTCAACTGACAGATAGCTATAGCCTTAAAGATGTAGGAGTGAATGTTAACTGCATTCACTTGTTTTATTTACTAACATTGTTCATTTACTAAAAATGTTTTAATTGAGAAGGCAATGTTAAATGATTTTCTTGAAGATAATGATATATTGCTTTGTTTTCATGTCTAAGTTTTCCTCTTATTTAAAGTAGCCTTCAGCTTTCGTTTTCTGTTGGAAAAACAATTCTGTGTCGTTCCATTTTAAGTACATGTATTTCAGTACTAATTACTTTTCTTGGAAAAGTGTATCATATCAATGTTAAACCTTCTTCAAAACAGCATCCTGAGAGCTATTTATAACATTCTTTTCTAAAAATAGAACATTTAGAAGCCGGGAAACAAATTAATCTCTTTACTAATTTTTTACATTATAGCCAGCAGACTGGCAGATTAGAGGTATTGAAGGGTTTTCTTATAGTTTATGTATTTTATGGGCGGCATATTTCATTTTGGTCTTAATTTGTATTTGATTTGACAATTATATGAAACAATTTATCTAAAAACAACATATTTAACCATTAGTAAAGCTAGAGGCCACTTTAATAATGAACAATGCAGAATTATTTATTCTTCTATTATACATTTTTATATTTTGCTTATTTAATTTTTCATTATCTTCCTAAAATGTGTCTATGTGTCACCTCTGTTTGTGTTTTAACAGGTTGGGCTTCCAGGAAAGTCGGGTGTGTCTGGTGGTATAATGCTGGTGGTTCCCAACAAGATGGGCTTCTTTGTCTGGAGCCCGGCTCTTGATAAATGGGGGAACAGTGTTAGAGGCGTACAATTTGCTAAGGTAAACTTGTAATACATATTAGAATTGCTGGCAGTGTGAGCTCAAACCCCCATCAGAGGCAAGCCATTGTTTCTGTGAGCAAGAAACTTCACACTCGCCGCTTTTTCCTGGTTGGTTCGAGGATCGGATCTGAGAGTGTTTCAATAAGCTTTTAGCTTCCAACACATTCAGACTAGAATAAATTAGTATAAACTAAATTCATATACTGATACATATCTTCACCTCAGTGCAGTAACAGTTTAATCCAATTAAATTGTAAAGGGTTTAGCCTGTAACCGCATTACTTGCAACCTTGAGTGGCTTTTGGTTTTGAGAGTCAGTAACTTGATTTAAGCAAACAAGCTGTATGGCAATAGTACAGGTTATGCCAGTTTTAACTCACAATAGAAAGATGGTTACTTTATTTAAAGCAGCAGGGGAAAATTATCTTTGTGATTTTTAACAACCCATACAGAAAAAAAATAAATAAATAAAACAATTTGGCTAATGATAGTCATATTCAACACATGCACTTTCATGTTCACATGTATTTCTCGATGTTGACATGGAATTTGTAGTTGTTTTATGACATGTACTTTTACCAGAATTAAACTGTCTATCTTTCTATGTTACATACAACATTATTTTAACTGTATAAGCAATTAGTCTTAAAGATTAACTTTAGTTACCTCCCTTTATACTGTTTTCCACTATAATTAATTGACAGTGATAAATAATTTGAAATCTTTGATTCATGAATGATCCGACATTTAAAATGCCTTACAAATTACATATATTAATATGTTCATATGTCTGTATAGTGTTCAATACCCTTTTAACAATATTTTAACATGCATTAAAGCTGCATGCCTCCAGATCAGCTAAAATATTTCAAGAAAATCAAACTACTAAGATGTAAAGAAAAGTAAATTTTAAGATTCAATACACAATATTTTACTGCTAAATACAATTTCAAAATTTTCATGATTGTCATGAATCTGGAGGCATGCTGCTTTAATTTTGATTATGATGTTGATCTGTATCATTATGCCCCCGCCATGTAATGGCCGGGGCATATAGTGTTACCCTGTTCCGTCATTCCGTCCTTCCGTCCTTCCGTCCTTCCGTCCTTCCATCCTTCCGTCCTTCCGTCCTTCCGTCATTCTGTCATTCCGTCATCATCAGTTTCCGTTCATTATCTTAAGAACGGTTGGGCACATTCAACTCAAATTTGACATATGGATATGTCATGAGAAAATACAGGTCAAGTTCGAATTTGGTCATGGTTCGATGATTTTTGGCAGAGTTATGCCCCTTTTACTTTGAAAATAATATGAAATTTCAGTTTCCGTTCATTATCTCAAGAACGGTTGGACACATTCAACTCAAACTTGACATATGGATATGTTATGAGAAAATACAGGTCAAGTTCGAATTTGGTTATGGTTCGATGATTTTTGGCAGAGTTATGCCCCTTTTACTTTGAAAATAATATGAAATTTTCAGTTTCCGTTCATTATCTCCCCAACGGTACAACACAATCAACTCAAACTTGACATATGGATATGTCATGAGAAAATACAGGTCAAGTTCGAATTTGGTCATGGTTCGATGATTTTTGGCAGAGTTATGCCCCTTTCACTTTGAAAATAATATTAAATTTTCAGTTTCCGTTCATTATCTCCCTCAAGGTACAACACATTCAACTCAAACGTGACATATTGATGCGTCAAAGGAATGCGCAGGTCAAGTTCAAATTTGGTTGTGGTTCGATGATTTTTGGCAGAGTTATGCCCCTTTTACTTTGAAAATAATATGAAATTTTCAGTTTCCGTTCATTATCTCCCTCAAGGTACAACACATTCAACTCAAACGTGACATATGGATGCGTCAATGGAATGCGCAGGTCAAGTTCAAATTTGGTCATGGTTCAATGATTTTTGGCAGAGTTATGCCCCTTTCACTTTGAAAGTAATATGAAATTTTCAGTTTCCGTTTATTATCTCCCCAATGGTACAACACATTCAACTCAAATTTGACATATGGATATGTTTTTGGAATGCCAAGGCCAAGTTCGAATTTGGTCATGGTTCAATGATTTTTGGCAGAGTTATGCCCCTTTCACTTTGAAAATAATATGAAATTTACAGTTTCTGTTCATTATCTACCTAACAGTGTTACATATTCAATTTTAATTTGACATATGGATATGTCAAAGGAATGGGCAGGTCAAGTTGGAATTTGGTCATGGTTTGATGGATTTTTGGCAGAGTTATGTCCCTTTCACTTTGAAAATAATTTAGATACATCTTAGGAATAAGCAGTTTAAGTTTGAATTTGGTCATGGTTCAATGATTTTAGACAAACTTATCTTTCCTGAATGTTGGAAAAATTTTGAACTTTCAGTTTCAGCACTCATTCTTTTAGCCATTATTTTGGCTACAAATATGCAATATGCTTTTTCTAAAGGTTAAGACTGAATAATTTCAGTGCCTTGAACGTTGTATGGAAATGGTTTGTGTTAACATTGAAAAGTTTTAAGGGCTTTGAACTTAAAATGAAAAAAAAAAATTAATGCACCATCTGAAATTTTGGCTGCATGCGGGGGCATCCGTGGCATGATGACACATTTCTAGTTACTGTTTGTTTCAGGATTTGGTTAGCAAATTCAACTTTCATCACTATGACAACCTGAAATTTACGCAGAAGAAAGTAGATCCTTGCCTGAAGAAGATAGAATCTCGCGCTACAGAGGTTGTAAATTTGCTATTTAGTGCTTACAATAGTGACGTATCAGCACTAAGGAGGTATCTACATTTCTACTACATTCGAGCCGCGTCATGACAAAACCAACATAGTGCATTTGCGACCAGCATGGATCCAGACGAGCCTGCGCATCCACGCAGTCTGATCAGGATCCATGCTGTTCGCTATCAGTTTCTCTACTTGTAATAGGTGTTGGTAAGCAACAGCATGGATCCTGATCAGACTGCACGGATGCTGGTCGCAAACCCATTATATTGGTTTTGTCATGACACGGCTCATTTATATTAAAGGCACATTATGTCTCAGAATTGAATAATTTTTTTAAATATTCTAGAAAGGTCAAATTTGAGTTTAATACAATTTAAATAATGGTTTAAGAGCTTTTAAGATGCTTATCACCTGAAGAAAGTAGGGACATATGTGAAATTGTATGTCATAATGTAACGAAATGTAAACAAAGTAGTATTTTGACATCCATATAAAATACTAAATCACTGTAATTGTACTAAAGGCCATAGAGTAATAGATGCAAGAGATGGTACAGTTAAATGCATTAAATAAGTATCTTTTTTGGAAACTACAACAGGACACCAAAATAAAATGTTTTTGAGACATTATTGAGGCATAATGGGCCTTTAAATTTTTAAGTGTTTTTTTGTTATAATCAACAACACTTTAAAGTGAATTTGTCCATAATGGAAGGTCTTAAATGCCATTTAATACCATAAATATATATCTTGATAGTATATTGTATATAATAATAATATGCGATACCACAAAAAGTTATGTATATGGATGTTTTGACTTCAAACCACTTGCCCCTCACGGTTGTGAGATTGAATCCCTACAGGGACTTTGGATTCTTTCATGTGACAAACTATCCAGCTAGCTTACGGATCGTCCATGGTTCTACTCAGGTGCCCGTTCATGCCTGATATAATGCATGGAAGGGCACCTGAGGTCTTCCTTCACCATTAAAGCGGGAACATCGCCATATAACCAATACTGTGTTGGTGTGACATAAAATCCAATCAAACAATAAAAAAAAAAAAATTATGGAATGTGTGCACATTGTAGACCAATCGACTTTAATACATACATACTAGATAGCAACTGTACATACACATTATATAAATAGACCATGGATCCAGCATACTTACATATTAATACGTAAGACTACAATTAGTATAATCCTGTGATGATACCATTATAGTGATTATACTCTACAAAATACTCTATGGTACTCTGAAATACTGACCCATTGTTGGTAAAGTTTTCAAGCCTTATTTAAAGTTTTCTTTGAAAGGATGTACGGGAGAGATCCATCTACAACAATGACAACAAAGAACAAATAGTGGCAATTGTCACATCCAGTTTTATCGTGTCTGTTCATGAGACTTAATGTGAAGGCATCATCTCTCACTCAACGCCCCTACCCCTCCTGCCCCCCCCCACCCCCCCTGCAGTGACGTAAGCTATATTCAGTCCTGAGGTATAACAGTCTACGAGCATTTTCGTGTCCTCAACATTATATTCTGTATAAAAATTGTAAATTTTCAGTGTCTGCTTTCAACCAGAATATTTGTATGTGGTTATAGCTTACATTTTATTGGTTATGGGCTTATGGCACACATTTATGTGATTATTGCCCAAACTTCGTTGCAATGATACACAATGATGTGTTTATATCAAATATTTACATGGTTATGGCTTACATTTATGCAGTTATGGCACACCTTTATATGGTTATGGCAAACATTTATATGGTTATGGCACACATTTATATGATTATGGCTTACATTTATGCAGCTATTGCATACATCTACATGGCTATAGCACACATTTTTGTGGTTATGGCACACATTTATATGGTTATGGCACACATTTATATGGTTATGGCACACATTTATATGGTTATGGCACACATTTCTATGGTTATAGCACACATTTATATGGTTATAGCACACATTTTTGTGGTTATGGCACACATTTATATGGTTATGGCACACATTTATATGGTTATGGCACACATTTATATGGTTATAGCACACATTTATATGATTATGGCTTACATTTATGCAGCTATGGCATACATCTATATGGCTATAGCACACATTTTTTGTGGTTATATCTGGTTCAATTTAGCATTAAAATAAGTTAATTGTTGTATTTCATTGTATAACATTGTTGTTTTAGTTGCTAATGTCATAGTCATTTTCCTCTGACATTTCTAGTATGTATTTAAGTTTAAAATTGAACAATGTCCTACTATTTAAGATTGTTATTCTTTTGCTCTTTTATTTTATGTTAGAGATATGATCTGACCTTCCTTGCATTTTTGATATGCTTGACTGTCTCTACTTTCACGTTTTAGATTTAGTTTCTGACAATCCTTTCTCTCATGTTTTAAATATGCTCTCACCATCCATACTTTCATGTTTTAGATATCCTCTGATTGTCCTTTCTCTCATGTTTTAGATATGCTCTGACCATCTTTCCATTCATGTTTCAGGTAGGCTCTGACCATCATTACTTTCATGTTTTAGATATGCTCTCACCATCCATACTTTCATGTTTTAGATATCCTCTGATTGTCCTTTCTCTCATGTTTTAGATATGCTCTGACCATCTTTCCATTCATGTTTCAAGTAGGCTCTGACCATCATTACTTTCATGTTTTAGATATGCTCTCACCGTCCATACTTTCATGTTTTAGATATCCTCTGATTGTCCTTTCTCTCATGTTTTAGATATGCTCTGACCATCTTTCCATTCATGTTTCAGGTAGGCTCTGACCATCATTACTTTCATGTTTTAGATATGCTCTCACCATCCATACTTTCATGTTTTAGATATCCTCTGATTGTCCTTTCTCTCATGTTTTAGATATGCTCTGACCATCTTTCCGTTCATATTTCAGGTAGGCTCTGACCATCATTACTGTCATGTTTTAGATATGCTCTGACCATTCTTACTTCAATGATTTAGATATGCTCCTTTCTTATGTTTTAGATATGCTCTGAGTGACTTAGATATGGATCAGGCAGATTATGATGGAAGGACAGCTTTACATATAGGGGCAGCTGAAGGTCATGAGAATGTTGTACGTTTCCTCATAGACAAGTGTAAATGTAATCCCTTTGTAATAGACAGGTAAGTCTAACGCCAGCAATTCTGATTAACCCTTCGCTATACAAGTATACCCATCTAACTCATCATATTTTGCCAACAATACTTGTATACCCATATTTAGCTCTTTATTGAAGAAAAAAAAAAAGGCTATTGCTACAGTTGTGTTGTCGTTGATATTGTTGTTGGTGTTGTAAGAAATAGTCCCAGCCTGGTGGTGGCATTTGTTAAAGCAGAAAATGATTCATTTGATTTGTTCATTTATATGTTATTTACCATCATCATTAACATTAACATTTACAGAGTTACCCACGTCATAGAATTACAATTTACTTTATTTGTTCTTTTAATGTATTTTCAAGTGAATATTTATAATAAGATTTATGATGAGGACTATAAAAAAAAGCAGACTGAAGGTCTTTATCCTTCTCCAAGTAGTAACAGTTGACTATTTTCTTATATAAATTATTACAGAAACATTTTAACAAACAACTCTTAAACTGATACATATTTTTAAGCAAAATTGTTGAAAGTTGCCAAGTTTTGAAATAAGATATATATATATATATATATATTATTGTTAATTGATATTGTTATTTATTTTAGATGGGGTTTTACTCCAGTGGCTGATGCTAAACGGTTTGGCCATAACAAGGTTGTTGCAATCCTCGAACACGCTATGGAGAATTATAATGCTGATGATAAGATTGATAGAAGGTTTCAAGCCATAGACAGTACAAAGTACGGAGAAATCACGTTTAAACGGGACGACACGTACACAGGTGACAGTACGATGAAATTTGATAAAAACAAATACGTTGACGACGGTGATGTTATATATAACATTGATTGCGCCCATGCAGAATTACAACCTCATGTCCTTGTTGAGGATAATGAAAACACCGGTGATGAAGTGAGATGGGCTGAGGCAAGCTTCGAAGAAGAAAAATTGGCACAATTTGATCCTGATAACAATGAAAAGATAATTGTTGAAAAGGATGAAAGTCACGATCCTAATAAAGATAAGACTGGTGATTCAGGTAGTGAAAGTAAAGATGGTGGAAATGATTTTGGGAAAGTGTTGTAAAGCAATATCATGATTCATAAAAATAGTATGATTTTCAGAGTGAACTGGATTTTACTAGTATATAGAAGCTGTTATATGCTCTACTAGTGAGCCATTGTTCGAACCCACGGGTACTGATTTTCGCTTAACTACATTCAAATGAAGTGTATACGTAACAAGTACACATGGGTTACCAAGGTTGCTAGTGAGCAAAATCATGCAAAGCCTATCCTGCCCGGTGTCTGTGTTATGTCCACATAATTTATATATGCATAATCTATGATGCAAACTGTTTTATGTTTAAATTTTAATTACTAGTATATGTTTGTCATTTTATGTAAAATTGTTGGACGTTTGAGTTTTTCATGATATTCGTAAAGCAATTGCTGCTGTATAAATGATTTTTATCTCAGTTTAGTCTTTCATTTCGCTAAGTTAATCATGCTGTCCCCTCTATCAGCAGTTTGTATAAGAATCCCTTACAATAGGAAATAAAATATTGTGATGCCAATGCACAGCGCTGAAGTAATTGTATATTTATTATCTTGTTATACATGTATCTCTTATAACAAGGACAAAGGACAGTGAATCTCCATGTATGTTGATGTTAATTAAAGGCATGTTATGCCCCACAATTGCTTTTTTTGTATTTAAAAAAAACAAAAAAAACTTTTATTTGTGGTGACTTGTTGTAGATTACAAAAGGTTACTTGTACTTATTGGCCAACTACCTGAACCATTTTATGCTTTTGTTGCTTTTTTAGCATTTAGTTTTCTTATATTGTTTTTACTATTTTGTATGGACATCAAAATATTGTATGACCAATTATTTCACAGTAAGTAATACTTTCTTCAAGTGATAGGTGTCTATTATGCTTAAAAAGCATTATTTAGACGTTATAAAATTCAAATTTGCCCTTTTCTAAAGAAGGACAAATTTTTGCATTTCTGAGAAAAATCGTTGACTCACAAATATATATATAAATTATATATCATGTATATGACAATCATTTTATATCTTTTGCATGGATATGATGAAGAATGTACATTGCTTTTTTAAAGGAACTCCACTGATGTCAAAAAGCCTACAAACATTAAACATGAATTTCTTAAACAGGTCAGCTGGGATATTCAATAACAGGAAGATATTCAAAAGATAATTTAAAAATATACTCAGAAATAAAATGAATACTGTATTTTGGTGCTATTCTTAGCCCGATTTGAGTGAAATGTGTTGCAATGGTTTACTATTTTGAGACATTTTTCACCAGTAGAATGATTATTCTGGAAAAACGGAGTGAGCCAATGATATGAAATTTTGCACACAAGTTATTGGTCAATAATCAAATGGAACATTAATTTTGAGAAAATATGTCCAGTCCCGTCATGTAAAAAAACCTGAGTGGTGTCCCTTTAACACTTACCCTTAACAAGTGTGATGAATTTGCCCTGAAACAGTTCATTTTAAGTTCAAAGAATTTGAATATTATGGTAAAAAAATGGTGACCTGACTCTATACAGGCAGTATAGGCTTATCAGTAGGTCACAGGGTTTAATATATTTTTGTTTCACTCTTTGTATATCCATAGACTGGCTGTTGCCACCAATGTACAATCATGCCAGTTGCAACATATCGTAAAGTGTCAGTTTCAAATTTTCTTAGAAAGTTAGAATTATTGAAGTCCTTTACTGAGTTACCTGAATAGATTTACAGTGTCAATACCTACAGATTGTTGCTTAAAGTATAAATTTTAGCTTGACATCATAATTGATTTTTTTTCATAATAAGGTCTACTTTTACTGTGTCCATTACTTTATAAGTCGGGCATACTGTCTCCTCTGACAGCTCTTGTTTTTTTTTTGTGATGTGAATCCCACTTATTACATTTGTTACATTACATTTATTTTGCTTTAATATTTTTGTAGAATTTTGTATGGGAAAATGCATCAGAAACCTCAATTTTTGTATGTAGATTTTTTAAAACAAGTAGAATTTTTAACACCCTATCTTGCTTGTTCTTAAATCTGAAATTATGCGGACAATTTGAAGACACTTGTATTTATAAAACGCACCAGAAGTCTACATTTAACATGCAGATGTTTTTTCCTAAGGAAGAACTAACAGACCTCACTTGAGGAGGAGGGGAGAGTGTTCAATGGTTATTTCAAATTTGAGCACTCCTATCAAAAAATTACTTGATCTAAGACTTCATTTTAAGAGAAATTATACTGCAATGTTTGTTAGTTTTGAAAGGATACAGATCTGATGCCATTCCTTTGTTTCATATTATGTTTAGACATTTTATTCTTTTCTAATCTTTTTATATCATTTTGTGCTTAGAAGATATTTTGTTATTTTAATTATATTTTACATCTTTAATTATATTTTACATCTGTGATGTTTTTTGCTTTTTTAAATGTGTTTATTTTTTATGCCCCCGAAGGGTGGCATATTAAAATTGAACCATCCGTCTCTCAATCCGTCCGTCCTGTTTTATACATATAGACAGTGGTGATCGTGTCCCTTTTGAAACTTCAGTATGCATGAAAGGATTTTAATTTTTCTTTCATATATATATATAATAACCATAGATGTATGGTGTGTCACAAACAAGACTCGGGTTTCTACCACTAAGGTCAAGGTCACTGTGGAGGTTCAAACTTTGTCATTTTTTATATTATATAAATATAGATGGTGGTGGTCTTGTCCGCTCTGAAAATTAAGTGTGCATGAAAGGATTTTAATTTTTCTTTCATATATGAAATAACCATAGATGTAGGGTGTGTTGCGAACAAGACTCGGGTTCCTACAACTAAGGTCAAGGTCATTGTGGAGGTTCAAACTTTGTCATTTTTATATTATATAAATATAGATTGCAGGGATCGTGTCCGCTCTGAAACTTCAGTATGCATATGAATAACCATAGATGTATGGTGTGTTGCAAACAAGACTGGGGTTTTTACGACTAAGGTCAAGGTCACTCTGGGCATTCAAATTTATAAGGTGGTGGTTGTGTCCGCTCAGAAACTTCAGTATGCATGAAAGGATTTTAATTTTCTTTTACATTTAAAATAACCATAGATATATGGTGTGTTGCGAACAAGACTCAGGTTTCTACGAGTTAGGTCAAGGTCACTGTGGGTGTTCAAACTTTGTCATTTTTTATGTTATAAAAAATAGAAGGTGGTGGTTGTGTCTGCTCTGAAACTTCGGTATTCATGTAAGGATTGTAATTTTTCTTTCATATATAAATTTACCATATATGTATGGTGTGTCGCGAATAAGACTCGAGGTTTCTACGACTAAGGTCAAGGTCACTTTGGGGCTCAAACTTTGTAAATTTTGATGTTAATATAAATATAGGCAGAGATGGTCGTGTCTGCTCTGAAACTAATATGCATGAAAGGATTATATTTTATTTCACATATGAAATTATCATAAATGTATGATGTGTTGCCCTTAAGACCATTGTTCCTACGCCTTAGTTTAAGGTCACTGCTGGGGTTTAAACTTTTTTAATATTTATGTTATATACATATAAATGGTGGTTGTTGTGTCCACTCTGTAACTTCCATATACATGAAAGTTTCAATTTTTATTTAAAAATATAAAGTCACCATAGATGGACAATGTGTTGTGAACAAGACTCAGGTTTCTTTGTCTAACTTAAAGGTCACTGGGGTTCGAACTTTGTCAATATTTACTATCACACTTAACGTGTATTAGGTGGGTTATAACTAGAATCCTTCGGGGGCATTTGTCATGTTCTGTGACAGCTCTTGTTGCTATTATTATAGAAAAGATTTGCACCATAAATTTTATTTAAATATTTTGTTACATTTTGATATTTGTTTAGGTTACTTGTTTGGTAGTTTAACTACGTTAAAACATATACATTATGCTATATACATGTATTTATCATATGATTGCCAGGTAATACATGTTTTATCATATGATTGCCACGTAATACATGTTTTTTTCACATGTTTGCCACGTAATACATTAAATTGTATAGCAATGACACATTATTTTTATTATATTTTTCTTCATTTATTGCGTGTATAACATGCATGAATACAAACCAATAGTAACTGGCGAGTAGCCAATAATGGTTGAATATGCATTTGAATTTAACAAGGTATATAATGTAAAGAGTATAGAAATATCATGACTTGTTACATGTACTACATGTACTTCTTTGTATTTTTGCTATCATACATTTTACAAGAAGAGATTACACTCATCAGATCCTGTCATAGTCAAGTTTCTTCTTAAATAACCCTATCCCATCAGTCACCAATGAAATTGTTATAAAACTCGCTTTAAATAACAATTTCTTAAACCTGTTTAGTAGATTTTCATATTGAATGAAAGGAATTTGACATATGTATGACATAACTAAAGCTTTTTAAGTAAATTGTTGCCAAACAATACCTCCATATGAATAGACGGGAAATAATGCATGAAAAGTGACCTTGACAATGTTGGCATTATCTTAATTGCTAACAAAATAACAAAATGATATGTGCTAACTTTAGATGTAACTGTAATATTTCAAGGGTTTGTTGCAAAAGAGTTGTATCTCTTGTAATTTAAAGAAGAAGTTACTGTAGTAATCATTTTGCACCAAGGTCTTGATTTGTAGAACCCCAAAGGTTTTGTTTTATTTCACCTTGACATCTACGATGCATATAATGATTCACCTGTGTGTGTGCGTATGTGTGTTATATAATTAATTTACTTAAAAATCTTTTTGTAAAAAAAAAACACTTGTCTAATTTCAGCCAAACTTGGCATGATTATTCCTTGTGTAAAGGGTTATGAAAGTTGTTTCCATGCAGAAATCTGGTTGCTATGGCAACCAAAAGGAGTTATAAGAATAAGTTAAAAAATCTTTTTGTAAAGACCAATAAGGCCGAGAGCAAAGATATTTTGCATAAGGTATTTACTGGTAGAGCTCTACCAAGATTGTTCAAAATTTACCCTGGCCGGGGGTTGGTGAGATGATGTCAGTAATTTTCATAATGAACTTATATAAAAAACTTGAAATACTTCTTTGTTGAAGGTACAAGGCTACAGTAAGCTTCAATTATAGCGAACACGGTTATAGCGAACTTCCGGTAATAAGGAACAATTTATTTTGGCCCGAATTATGCCCTTCTTTATTTAATATAAAAATATACGGTTATAGCGAACACGGTTATAAGGAATTATCGCTTATAAGGAACTCATTTCTTAGTCCCAATTTAGTTAAAAGTACAGAAAATTACACTTTTATAACGAACTCCAAAATATTGGCTATCTGTAAATAGAACCCGCATATTTCGTTTTCATTGGCGGCCGAATGTACCATTTATTGTTGAATGAACTTCAATACATCTATGAAAATGAATTTGTATAGAAGTACGTTATAGTTTTCTATTTAGGATAATTTTTGCAGTTGTCACCAAGATAAAACGGTTATTCATTTAATTCATTTTTTTAATTTTTTTTATATAGTTTTGCGCGAGTAGAATAATTATGATAATTTATAATCGGTTCTTTAAACTAATCAGCATGCTTGCTAGCATAATCCAATGAAAACTACAAAGAAGGCTCGATTGAAATGGAAAGAAATCAATCTATATATTTCATCAGTTAAAGCACGGATTTATATTATAAATCCGTGGTTAAAGTCACCCTTAAAATATAATAGAAGATATTCAATATGAAAGAATGAAAAATCATGGAAGGAAAACGAAAAGCCCAGGCCCCGTGTCTACAAATATTAAAGGATCAGGATCAAGATCAGGATCAAATTTAAAAACTCTAATTTTCTTCATTTTGTATCCTCATAGATTAAATATCTAATATTAATTTGATAAAACTGGACTTGTACTAGCAAATTAATGAAATTTTAGAATAAATTTTTGTTATTTTTACATGATACGGCTATTTTACAGTTGAACCAAATATTGATCCTGATCCTAGAATTGATCCTTATTTTGATCCGAATATTTTTGTATTTGTTTTGTTATTTGTAAATAGTTTGGTTTCTTTGCAAATCAGCATTTTTTAGCTCGACTATTCGATAAGAATAAGTAGAGCTATTGCAGTCACCCGAGCGTCGGCGTCAGCGTCGGCGTAACCACTTATGTTAAAGTTTTTGTAATAGTTCAAATATTTTCAAAGTCCATAGACATATGGCTTTGAAACTTTGCACACTTGTTCACCATCATGACCCAAACCTGTAGACAGGAGGAGGTAACTCTATCAAGCAGTTTGACAGAATTATGCCCCTTTTTCGACTTAGAATTTACGTTAAAGTTTTTGTAATAGTTCAAATATTTTCAAAGTCCATTGACATATGGCTTTGAAACTTTGCACACTTGTTCACCATCATGACCCCAACCTGGAAACAGGAGGAGGTAACTCTATCAAGCATTTTGACAGAATAATGCCCCTTTTTCGACTTAGAATTTACGTTAAAGTTTTTGTAATAGTTCAAATATTTTCAAAGTCCATTGACATATGGCTTTGAAACTTTGCACACTTGTTCACCATCATGACCCAAACCTGTAAACAGGAGGAGGTAACTCTATCAAGCATTTTTTTTTACTATCAAGCACTAAGAATAGTCGAGCGTTGCTGTCCTACCGACAGCTCTTGTTTACATTTGGAATATTTACCATTTCATTCTAGCAAAACACGATAAATTATAGTAACATAAAACAATGAAAATAAATCAGGATCACTTGATCCATATCATGGTCTTTTCTTTGTGAATCAAATGCTCTTCACAATGCACGATGGTAAACTATGGAAAGCCATGGCTGTCTTATATTGTTATTTTTCAATTTATTTAACCATTTGGATAATATATAAGTTCACTTCGACTATATATGACTTGAAAACACCTTCTTATTTAACCGGAATTCATTATATTAATCCACAGTTACAACATGTACTATATATGAAACCATACAGTCAGTGTATGAACCGAGGTAGCAATATATAAGTTGATTTTCTCAATATATGATTCCAGTTCTTCAATATATTGTACCAAAGTAGCCATGTGTGGAACCAGATATCCTTATATGAAACCGAATTATCAATATATTAATTCATTTTTACAATATATGAAACCATTTTATCTATGTATGGAGCCGAAGTATCAATATATAAGTTTATTATCACATTATATGATACCAATTATCCAATATATGGAACCAAAGTAATAATGTATGGAACCAGGTGTCCTTATATGAAACCATATTATCAATATATTAATTCATTTTTACAATATATGAAACCATTTTTATGCCCCCGCCATGTAATGGCCGGGGCATATAGTGTTACCCTGTTCCGTCCTTCCGTCCTTCTGTCATTCCGTCATCATCAGTTTCCGTTCATTATCTTAAGAACGGTTGCACACATTCAACTCAAATTTGACATATTGATATGTCATGAGAAAATACAGGTCAAGTTCAAATTTGGTCATGGTTCGATGATTTTTGGCAGAGTTATGCCCCTTTTACTTTGAAAATAATATGAAATTTCAGTTTCCGTTCATTATCTCCCCAACGGTACAACACATTCAACTCAAACTTCACATATGGATATGTCATGAGAAAATACAGGTCAAGTTTGAATTTGGTCATGGTTCAATGATTTTTGACAGAGTTATGCCCCTTTTTCTTTGAAAATAATATGAAATTTTCAGTTTCCGTTCATTATCTCCCCAACGGTACAACATATTCAACTCAAACTTGACATATGGATATGTCATGAGAAAATACAGGTCAAGTTCGAATTTGGTCATGGTTCGATGATTTTTGGCAGAGTTATGCCCCTTTTACTTTGAAAATAATATGAAATTTTCAGTTTCCGTTCATTATCTCCCCAACGGTACAACATATTCAACTCAAACTTGACATATGGATATGTCATGAGAAAATACAGGTCAAATTCGAATTTGGTCGTGGTTCGATGATTTTTGGCAGAGTTATGCCCCTTTTACTTTGAAAATAAAATGAAATAATCAGTTTCCATTCATTATCTCCCCAAAGGTACAACACATTCAACTCAAACTTGACATATGGATGTGTCAAAGGAATGTGCAGGTCAAGTTCAAATTTGGTCATGGTTCAATGATTTTTGGCAGAGTTATGCCCCTTTCACTTTAAAAGTAATATGAAATTTTCAGTTTCCGTTTATTATCTCCCCAATGGTACAACACATTCAACTCAAATTTGACATATGGATATGTTTTTGGAATGCCCAGGCCAAGTTCGAGTTTGGTCATGGTTCAATGATTTTTGGCAGAGTAATGCCCCTTTCACTTTGAAAATAATATGAAATTTACAGTTTCTGTTCATTATCTACCCAACAGTGATACATATTCAACTTAAATTTGACATATGGATATGTCAAAGGAATGGGCAGGTCAAGTTGGAATTTGGTCATGGTTAGATGATTTTTTGGCAGAGTTATGTCCCTTTCACTTGGAAAATAATATAGATACATCTTAGGAATAAGCAGTTTAAGTTTGAATTTGGTTGTAGTTCAATGATTTAAGACAAACTTATCTTTCCTGAATGTTGGAAAAATTTTGAACTTTCACTTTCAGCACTCTTACTTTTAGCCATTATTTTGGCTACAAATATGCAATATGCTATTTTTAAAAGGTTTAGACTGAATAATTTCAGTGCCTTGAACATTGTATGAAAATGGTTTGTGTTAACATTGAAAAGTTTTAAGGGCTTTGAACTCAAAATGAAAAAAATAATTAAAGCACCATCTGAAATTTTGGCTGCATGCGGGGGCATCCGTGGCATGATGACACATTTCTAGTATCAATATACATGATGTATTGAACCAAAGTATCAATATATAAGTTGATTATCACATTATATGATACCAGATCTTCAATATATTGTACCAAAGTAGCAATGTATGGAACCAGATGTCCTTATATGAACCGAATTATCAATATATTAATTCAATTTTACAATATATGAAACCATTTTATCAATGTATTGGACTGAAGTTCCCATATATATGTAGATTTTTACATTATATGACACCAATTCCTCAATATATTGTCATAGGTTGCTAGTATATGAATCCACTTTTCCAATATATGGAACCAAATGAGCAATGCGTGGAACCAAAATGTCATTATATTGACGGGACTTATTTAAATGCTGTTTTCCATCCTTGCACCGGTATTACAGTTTCGCACCAATATTCCTAGTAGAACTGTCAAAAGACTAGCGTGTTTCACTGATGGCATTATGCACATTTTTTTAATTATGGAAATATTTGAATTTAACGTCACATTTACTTTGGCCTTAAAATGGACTGGACAGGCAAAACTTATCGTTATATATGTATGTAAAGTTTCAAAATTATAATTTAAGCTACTGAGTCGTACTGACCATTTACAAAAACATATTTAAGAAAATTAAGTTCATCTCGACCTTTAGAATTTTGATCAAAAATGAGCTTGGTCAGTAGGACACTTTAATTTTAAAATTCAAAACTCCAAAAAATAAAATAAAAAAGGTTTTCATGAAAAAAAGAAAATGTTTTGTAATAACGAAAACCCGGGTGCCCGGGGGCCCCCTTTGACTTGTTGATTTGGGAAAAATGGGGCTTTTTTTGGTTCCTTTAAAATGAAATTGTTATCATATTACTGCTTTTTGGTTCCAAC